TTAGGAGAGAACTGTGCCTTACTCCAAAGCCTGAGTCATGGCTCAGAGGAGAAGGAGTTGCACAGCCTCCCTTTTTGTCAGCCACTGTGGAGCTCCTAGCTTTTCCTGTGTTCTAACCAAAATCTTAATCCTGGGTCTAAGCTGGTGTGGGTTGACTCTGAGGACTGAGACTTCCCACTGTGTTCCAGGGAACAAGCAGGCATAGGTGAAATCTTTCTATGTTCTTCCTCTTTGTTCTTGCTTTTTGAGCCACGCTGCATCTGGAGCACTAGGTTTTGTCTCTTTCTAGACAAAGAAACCTACCTCTAAATCCCAAAAGCAAGTCTTGCTGAGTCCATGTCCCCAGCTGTGTCCCAGGGAACAAGTAGTCAGGGCAGATGATGTTTTGCAGTCTGTGTCTTCCTTGGTCAACCATTTTAAACACGCACTCCATCTGGATGTGTCTTTGTCTCTTTCCTACTCCTAATAGTAGGAAATGTTACCCATTGGGGTAACATTGTCCCAAGGAACAAGTGTTCAGAAGACAAAAGACTKTGGCATCTTCCCTGCTTCTTTGGCAGCCATTGCCAGCCTCACTATACCTGGAGCTCTAGGCTTGGCCTCTTTCCTAACTATAATCCTAACCCTAGCAGCAAGCACTGGCTGAGACCTATCCTTAGACTCCAAATACAGCCTAGGGGAGAAAACTGTTAGAAGATAATAATCCATGGAGTCTCCAACAATTTATGCAGTTCCTTTACACCTTTATAAGCTAGAGCTGTGGGCTTTATCTCTCCCTTGATGCTAACTGTAAATCTAGGTGTGGGCTATCTTATCCAGAGAGGCCCTGCCGTGTCCCAGAGGGACAAGTGTTGCACAGGCTCCCCCTTCATCGCTGCTCCCCTTTGCAGCTCTGTGGCACCTGGACCTGTGGGCTTTGTGTCTCTCCTACTCCTAATTCTGATCCTAGGCCTGACCTGAGTTTTAGCCCTGGATCACTGGGCATGACCCGAGGTGAGAATCTGGGGCAGAGAATCCTTTCCTCATCCTGCCGGGGGAGGCAGGTCTTGCTGCAAAAATGGGTAACTGAAAAGTATCTACATGCCACTTAGACAAGCTTGCAAAATTTATTGATACAAGCAAGCTGGTCTTCCYTTTGTTTGCAACAGGTGGATTACTCTTGCCCCTGGACTGGTCCTTACAAGGAAAATCCTTAAGCAAAGGAAAGAAACATAACAAAAATAAAATATCTGAGTACATTCCTAAATTACAACTGCTTTATACCAAAATTCTTCTTTTTTCTTTACAGGAACTTTTGATTGTCATAAACTTTCTTTTTATTTCTTGAAGCTCAAATGAATCAATACCAACAATTATGATGTTAATATATCATTACTAGGTTTATAAATACATTGTTTCTAACCAAATATTGCTCTATCAAGTAGTTAAGATTAGAAATATACACTTTTGAATTATAAGCAGTAGGCAATTGACTGTTGATAAAAATCAGTAAATAAAATTAGTAAGATTGCATGACCAAGCACCTGGCTTAAGTGAYGAAGTAAACATTCAAACAACAACTTCTTGGAAAAAAAGATATCATGCAATTGTCGATCCCTGAAGAAAACCTCAATGAACAGAAAGACAGAAAGCCTCAAGCATTCTTAGTAGGACATACAGCGCTAGGGTACTTCACTATAGTCATGACTACAATGGATTTTGTTTTTCTGGGCATACCTATCAACCAACTACGCGTACAATGTTTATTGAGATTAGTACCACTAAGAATTTGCACTCTTTAGTGCAGGAGTTATGATTTACAAGTAATTTATTTTGAACCCCTGCAGCAAGAGAGAACACAATGTCCACATCTATTCCAAAAGAAAAGCTTTTACTGATCCTCTTGGTTGCAGGACATAGACAAATACTGGTATTGCAAAGGAATTAATTAAACCGGGGCAAATCACAGTGAAAGTGCCTAAATGCCTCCATGTGTGTTTGCTTATATGCAAATACAATGGGATTCAGTGCAGACAAGAAGCAAGATTTAGTGGTGATGACATTACTGCTAATGCACCACCAGTTTTAGAACAAATCCTTTTTGCTTCATTGTTCATGCAGAGCAATGTAAAGGAGCTCACAACTATAAACACACTATTTTTAAATTCCAGCTTATGACAATATGAAAGAAGCCACTTAATCAGTACTGAGTAAGTAAATGTCCCTAAACACAAATGCTCAGTAAACAAAAATTGGATTATATTTGAACTGTAGGTTTTTAGACAGACTGAAGTACTGCAATCAACCAGATGTCCTTGTTGATAGGTTTGCATTTATTTACTTATGCTCCTCCTCATATCAGTGACTGAAGGCTGATTCATATTTCTCCAGAATATAGATTTTAATGCAAATAAATCTCCAGCTACATAATCGTGGTATTTTGAACAGTGTCAGTTAGCGTACTGCAAGAAAAGAATTTGCATGATGTAATTCAAATGTGATTTTTTTTTTTTTACTTTATACTGGAAGTTCTGATGCCAACACATCAGAATATATAAAATCTCTAAAACCCAAAATGTAAGGATGAATTATTTGAGCAAAATTTGCATGGTGTCTTCAAGTGCTCTGATATCTAGCTAAAATACTCATGTACAGCAATAGTTTTAAGAATGTTAACATCACTTGCAATAAGTTCATTCCTATATACATAAACAGAATCAATGGGAGTCCTCAAAATGCCCAGGACTCACAAATAGAACTTTTATGCAATTATTAACAACTGAAAAGATTTTTTATGAGCCATTACATTTCTATGTATATAAGCATATACATATATTTAAAAAATGTATTCTACATATTAGTCACAGAAACACCTTGCTTAAGGGTCTTAATGCTTTGCTTAAATGCAAAACTGTGCCTGTACTAAAAGTAGTGCCCATGACAAAGTTGTCRTGTTTGTTTGTCTGACTGATGCTGATAGTACATGAATGATCTGTGTATTGATAGGAGGTGACAACTTACATGAGGAAAAATATACAGAGAGGCTATATGTATCAAGTACATGTTGGAATAGCTTCTTGTGTGGATAGTAGGTGTGTACATGGTGCTAGAGGGAATAAATTCTTGGTGGGGGGTAGTAGTTGATGTTAATGCTGCATGTATCTGCATATTAAAGTGGTGGGTAGTGAAGATATATATAATTGTGAAGGTGGGCAGACAGTGATAATGAGATGTGTGAGTGGTAGGAGGTGATGGGTATGCAGGGTAAAATGAGTGGGTAGTGAAGATGCATGTGTGATGCTGACTATAGCGATATTGCAAAGAGCATATGGCAGCATATGTATTGTAGGGATATTTATGTGGGGTAGACGTTGTTCTTGGCAAAGGTAGGTGGTGCTCATAGGTGACAGTTTATGTGAAGAGGCAGGTTGGTCTCCATGCCAGTTTTGTGTGCTCGTATGTGTGAGCAGCTGTAATAGCCTGGGTAAGCAATTATGGATGTTTGTTTTATATGCATGTATGTGTTGTGGCACTATTAAGAATATCTGGTGATGAGGGAGTGCTGATTCAGTGAGCAAATATGAGGGTGTGAGGAATAGTGAGTAAATGTGTCTATTTTTTACAGGATGGGTAGGTGGTGGTGGTGTCAAAACTGATAAAGTGGGTGTGTGTGAGGACATAAGGGTTTATGGGTGGAGTGACACCATGTGTAGGGAGGTAAGAGGTGTGTGGCCTGGAAGGCGAGGTATAGGTGAAGGTGGWAATGTTTGCCAGGGTGTAGAGATGCAGTGCTGGGAATATCTGCTGATGCTCATATGTATTTGGAAAAGGTAGTATGGATGAAGTGTGCGACAAAGCAGGGTCTGTCTAGAGATGACAGCAGCTATTAATTCATATGATCAAGTTCTTCTAGAATGTGTGTACAAAATAGCATGCTATGGGTCAGTGCATAGAAGCAGCTTGAGGGTATACAGGTGTGTCGAAGTATAAGCAAGTCATTYACACAGTGATGCATGTGTAGAAACAGTACGTGAATGGAGATGATAGCATGGATAGATAGTTTGTGGCCCATTACAGTGGTGATGCTGTGTGCAGGCTACTCACAGGAGGGATACTCACAATATTGAGGGGTATAAAGCACGGGACACTGCTGGTGTCTGGTGAGGGGGCACAGCGAGGYGGGCAACAGGGCTGCGTGGCGGCAGGCTGTGCAGGCGCTGCTGGTGTGGGACACTGCTGTGCACCTATGGTGAAGGTGAGGGGTGTATGTAGTAGTGCCAAGGCTGGTGGCAGCACTGTGTAGGTGGGTGCTGTGTGARGTGTAATGTGTGGGGCAGGAGTTTGGCAGCTGTGCAGGGGCTAGAGAGGACACTGCCCTCCCCACCATGACTCAGGCTTTTGTCCCAGAACCAGAGCCTTGGCMTGGGGTGCTCCTGGACCCCAGATGGGGAGAATAGTGTGGGCTGGGGGGAGAGGGGTATCGGCTGGGGGAGGGAGCAGAATGGAATGGGAAGGGGGTCTACAGGAATGAGGGCAGAGCACGTTGGAGGGAGCAGCACAGGAGGAGAGGAAACAGCAGGATGGCGGGGGCGGGACGGAGTGAGGACAGGATGGGATGGGGCGGTGCGGGCAGGGGCAGCGCGGGCTGGGGCAGGGGCAGTGCGGCCAGGGACGGTGCGGGCCGGGGCAGTGCGGGCTGCGCTCCGGCAGCTCTGGCAGCTCCGGCAGCGCCGGCAGTGCCAGCGCGGCAGGGCGAGCGGGCTGGGGGCGGGACGGGACGGGCGGCAGGAGGGGCTGGGAGGGAGGGGACACCTTCTTACGTCTCCTCCTGCATCTTCTTTTTTTTTTCCTCCCCGCTTTCCCACCTCCTTTTCGTAGCCCGTGACGTGCCGCTGCCTATTAATCATTCACCAGCCGGGGAGCAGCGACCGCTGCCACTCGGAGCGAGCGGCGGCCGCAGCCGGTGCGTGCCCGGCGCCCCGCAGCGATGCCGCGCGGCGGGCGCGGGCCGCGCTGAGCCGGGCCGGGGAGGTGCGGGCGGCGGATACTCCCCGATGGCCCCGGCCCAAGGCTCCCGGGCGGTGCAGGCAGCTTTAGCGGCGGCGGCGAGAGCGGCGGCGGGGCCGGCGGCGCCGCGGAGGAGGCGGCGGCGGGGGGCATGGACTCGAGCGCCAGGAACTCCTCGGGCGCCCCGAACAGCACCCTGAGCGAGTCCCAGGGCAGCGCCATCCTCATCTCATTCATCTACTCCGTGGTGTGCCTCGTGGGGCTGTGTGGCAACTCCATGGTCATCTACGTGATCCTGCGCTATGCCAAGATGAAGACGGCCACCAACATCTACATCCTCAACTTGGCCATTGCGGATGAGCTGCTGATGCTCAGCGTCCCCTTCCTGGTCACCTCCACCCTGCTGCACCACTGGCCTTTTGGCTCACTGCTCTGCCGCCTGGTGCTGAGCGTGGATGCCATCAACATGTTCACCAGCATCTACTGCCTGACGGTGCTCAGTGTGGACCGCTACATCGCTGTGGTGCACCCCATCAAGGCAGCTAGGTACCGCCGGCCCACTGTGGCCAAGATGGTGAACCTTGGTGTCTGGGTGCTCTCCATCCTCATCATCCTGCCCATCATCATCTTCTCCAACACAGCAGCCAACAGCGATGGCACAGTGGCTTGCAACATGCTCATGCCAGAGCCCACCCAGAGGTGGCTGGTGGTTTTTGTGGTCTACACCTTTCTCATGGGCTTTCTGCTGCCTGTGGTGGCTATCTGCCTCTGCTATATCCTCATCATTGCCAAGATGCGCATGGTGGCCTTGAAGGCCGGGTGGCAGCAGCGCAAGCGCTCAGAGCGTAAGATCACTCTCATGGTCATGATGGTGGTGATGGTCTTTGTCATCTGCTGGATGCCCTTCTACATTGTGCAGCTGGTCAATGTCTTCGTAGAGCAGGATGATGCCACTATCAGTCAGCTCTCCGTCATCTTGGGCTATGCTAACAGCTGTGCCAACCCCATCCTCTATGGCTTTCTCTCGGACAATTTCAAGCGCTCCTTCCAACGGCTGCTCTGCCTCAGCTGGATGGACAATGCTGCAGAGGAGCCCATCGACTACTATGCCACTGCTCTCAAGAGCAGGGCATATAGCGTGGAGGACTTCCCCCCAGAAAACTTGGAGTCAGGGAGCATGTACAGGAACGGCACTTGCACCTCCAGGATTACGACCCTCTGAGGAAGCACCCCAGATCCCCATCTCCACCGCTGCCCCCCAGGAGGGGGGCACGTGAGGCGGGGACCATGGCATGGGGTGGCTGGGAGGGAGGGGATTTCAGAGGCAGCATTTGGCGTGAGCAGCGAAGAAGAAAGCCCCGTGCCCTGGGTGTGCTGCCCCGTGCCCCCTGCCACCTCCCCTGAGGGCAGCGCGTGTGCTGATGCTTTGATAGCGCCCCAGTAAAGTGACTGCTGCACCCCACAGCTCGGCCAGGCCCTGCTGCCCCCCACCATGGCTGACCGGAGGTTGTGCGCGCCCCACAGTGACTTTCCGCTCGCTTTTGTATGACTTTCCCATGGCCCTGYCCCTCACCTCGGCCGCTGAGGAGGCAGCCTGGAGCTGGACCTGCCTGTCTCAGCCTCCCCGTTCTGAAGATGCCCTGCTTGGCATCCGTGGGCACACGCTTCCTTTCAGAGAGTAGAAACACTGGGAAAAGTCCCCTCCAAGTCCCACCTTTTCCCCTCGGAAAGCAGCAAGCAGCCTTCTCCACCTCCCCACTGGAAAAAAAGGGAGGAAAAGCCCCCCTAGAAAAGGAGCAGCGAATTCACAGAGCTGCCTTCTCCTTCACAGCCAGCCTTCCCCTCGCTGGGGAGCAGTCCCTGCCCGGCGCTCGGCAAGCAGGGCAGGAAAGGGCTTTGCAAAAGCAACGCGGTTCCGAGCGGAGCCGGGATGCGCAGGGAGCTGAGGACTGAGCTGGGGGCGAGGGGTGCAGAGCTGAGCTGGAAATGTTTGAATGTGTCCGTACATACAATAAAAGTGTGCAAATAATAAAGCAGAAAGGGAGYACCAGGCTGTGAAGCTGTTGCCCTGTGTGAGACAGCACCGAAGGGAGCTGACACAGAGCTTTGAATAACCCGGGTGGCCATGAAAGTTCGCTAGCCTAAACAGAAAAAGGGGGATTAGCTTCGAAATCTCCATCAGGCTTTAAAAGAAATACTTGACAGAAACATACCTAAAGTAGCTGTTTGGTAATAGCTATTTCCCAGCTCCAATTTCTTCTGTTGCACTAATAACTGAAAGGGGTTTCATATATTGCCAATGTAATATACTGGTCTAGAGCTTCATAATATGTTTCATTTCTGAGAATTGTTGTTTTTAGCGTGTGCCAAATGTCTTTTTTTTTTTTTTTTTTTTTTTTTTTGATTCTTGTCACTGTGTTGTGAACGTGTTTCTCTGAATTAATACTGTGTTCTTCTGTCTGTGGTAGTTACTTGCAAGAGTGCATTTAAAATGGATGATGCTCAAGAAGGTTCCTTTTCAGAGAAAAAAAAAAAACTATAACTTTTTCTAAATCTTTTATCTATATTGTCTCCCCTCACAAAAATTTTCTCTCCTGAATTTTTCCTCTTCCACTTATGACACAACACTTTTCTTACAGAAAAATGAAGCTGTCTTACTTGCTAAATGGCAGTTGTTCAAACAAACTCTCCTGTTCCTATTCCCCCTTATCCCAGAGGTAAGGGTTGGTACGGGCTGTGGTGACAGAAGCAGCTATGCTTTTTGTTCCCCACCACATCTATTAGCAGTGTCACACAGTGGTGGGTGTCTCAGGAGCTGTGACAAATCACTTCTCTAGCACAATACTGTGATTATATTAATTATAACTCCTGGCAATCTGAAACAAGTGCTTGAGAAAGATCTCTGGTAGCAACACACCGTAGCAGTGTCTGCTCGTAGCTACAGTGCTCAGGAAGGCCAAGCAGTGGCCTCTGTGATAATCTACCCTGATTATCAAAGCATGTAGCATTTGGGGTGGTTGACTTACCATGGATTCTTGTTAAATTGTACCATTTAACTTTTCTTAGCAACAAAAAGCAGGGGGGGCTACTTTGTACATTTCTTTCACCAAAATTTAGATACCATTAAATGAATGTATAAATTTAGCATTTCACAGTGGCCTGATTCAAAGTCCATTRCAATGAGAGTAAAGATTCTCATTCACTTCAGTGGACCATGAGTCAGTCCCTTTTAGATTAAAAATTGCTGATGTGGAAGCTGTTACATCCTTATTAAAATATTTTGTGAAAAGCTTTAACAATTGTATGGCTTCTTTTCTTTCACTTTCCATTTGCCCTCATTAATAGATGAAAAATACTTTTGGTAATGWTTTACATGCATATATGGGGAAAATATATATATATAATATATAATCTTAATTAACTTTTCACAGAAACCAAACATTGGTCAAAACAATCAAATACCACCTGGTGCTATTTGTAGAGCTTCACTTAAAATCTCCCTCACGATCTCTTCAAAATGGTATCAGTCTCACACTTCTTTTTTTTCCCCAGGCGGATTGTAATGTATCCTTAGTTTAAACAGTCAGTCTACTTTTTACAGTTAGCTACTTCTAATATTATGCACTTGGAAGCAAGAGTGAAGAAGGAGCAACTTATACCTACCACTCAGCTTCGATGAAAAAATGCGATACTTTTTGTTGTTGCTGCAAATGCCTGCACACCCACCAGCATATTTGCTCTAGCTTCAGTCCCCCAAGCGCGGCCCTGGGCGGGTGGCAGGGATGCTGCACAGAGGCGCTTGGTGACACAGTAGGTGGCAGCCGTTCCTCCCTGCACAGCTCCTCAGCCACCAGCAGCCACCAGCAGCAGGGCGATTCCTGCCCAAAACGCTCAGCGCAGCTTCATCGTGAAACAAAATCTACATTGCTAACCGTTCTCGCTGCTATTTGTCACCTGGAGCTTAGCTCGACTTTGGCAGTGGGAGGGTTGATCAGAAGCCACAAATCATTCCTAAATTGCTGTGGAATGAAAGGTCAGTTTGTTCCACGTTATTATTCTAAATAGCAGGAGATAACTCTCAGAAAAAAAAAAAAAAAAAAAGGGTCTTCCTCAAAAAAAATGTGTAGTGTACCACACAACAAATGGAGCTCTTATCAATACATGCAAGGAGCAATTAAAATTTGTTCATATTTCTTATAAAATATATGGAACCATATACATATTATAAAATATAAAAAGGATTTGGCTTAATAGTTAATTTTCCACAAAAAAAAAAAAGAGAAATACAGTGACATTTCTCCATGGAATTTTGTATCTTTATAGAGCTATAGCATAATTAATCTAGAAAAGGGATCACTATTATTAGATTATAGCTATAATCAATGGTGTGCTGCTATATATTTCCCATACGCTTAATATCTAAAAAGCAGCATAATTGGGGATTGGCCCGTGCCACTGACTTCCACACAACTTTTATTATTCTTTGTTCAGCCCAAAAGCCATATACAGCAGCGTGATCGCTCCTGATAGTATGGAGGCAATGGACTGCATCATTTCCCACGGTGCACACAAAAAGAGAACGGTCTGCACACAGATTTGCCTGGCACCTGCATCAAACACCTCTGCAGCATTTTCCCACTTGAAGGGGGGACATTACTGTTCTCTCTGGGCAGACTTCCCAGGAAGCAGGATTAGATGGAGCACTGCATCAGGCAAGACACATCTCATTACCCTGTGGCGAAGTGCAAYGCGCAGCCAAGCAGCTGGTTGCAGAGGCAGGAGGGATGAAAGGAGCGATGGTCACGTGCATCCTCCACCTTCTGAGACACTCCTCACTGCACAGAAAAAGCCACACAGTTTGGGGTTCTTCATATAGCCTATGCTAAAAGAACACATATGACTTCTTCACAGAACAGGACACTCGGGTGTCTGAATATGAGGCTATATTTCCAAAGTGTCACTTTTACGAGGCATCAGAACAGAACAAAAGGGTTTCTGATTAGTTTTGAAAAACTCAAAGTCTGCACTTCAAATGTTTGGTTGCACATTGTATTACCACTGTGACCATTTGTCCCTATAGCATTATGTAATAACCAGTCTCCAAAACCCAGCATCCTAATTATAGATACTAAACTAAATCTTTCTGAAATGATTTAACTTTTCTTTGATGTTTCTAGAACAGCAGTATGGAAATTAGTGTCTTAAAATCTTGCCAAAAATCCAAGAAAAACACACACACACACAAAACAAACAAACAAACAAACAAAACCCACAAGAAATAAGCCTCCAAAAATCAGCCCAGTATTCTAGATGCTGTGATTTCAGCCCCTAGAAGCCTTAACTGACTCCAGGGCTCCACAGACAAGAATGTGATTCATAATCTCTAGAGGAGAATAAAATATTTCTACTGCATTACGTATTCAGCATTTCCATCTTCTTCAACACAGAGCCTTGTTGCACCAATAACTGTAGGCTAAGCCACAGGAAGAGTAATTTACTAATTAAATTTTTCTTTGAGAACAATGCCTTTAGATATTATATTTTGTAGAAAGAAACAGTCAAGTAGAACATGGGAAGAAAGAAAAATAAAACAGGGGAAGCAGGAATCATTTCAAAGTATTTCACCATACCCTGCTACAAAACAAGCACAATCTTTACAAGAAAGATGCTTTTCAATAAAAGCCATCTATGCCTCTCTCCCACCATCCCAACACGATTCCACYAAAAATTTAAAATCTCTTTTGACAAAAGAGTTACCAGTCATGAAGCAGAGCCAGCAAGATGGCATGACCTACTGAAAAACGTAGGTTTTTCATCTCCAATCAGACCGAATGCATTTCTCATTATATGCTCATCATCGCTGTGATGGGTCGTGTCACCTTCAAAGCAATATTAATGGACAGATAGTCAATTCTACTCTCTGCTTGTCTAAAAGCAATCTTTTTGGTACAAACTCTTACAGTGTGGAATACATAGGTTACACTGCAGGGCCCCTTGGTGGGTTCCTGAGCTTCCTAACTACAACAGCTGAGATAAAACGGCCAATATTCATCGCTTATCTGTGGGGTACGTAGGATGACGAGTCTTATGATGTGGGATTGTGGATCATCGTAATGCTTACTGGAATTGGATTGTATTGGCTCAGTTTACAGTGTTGATGACAGAGTTTTCACTGCAAGTCTAGACCTAAACAACCATAAAATTGTGTAGGACACCAAGGGGGGGAGCTGTGCCGCAATGTGCCCTATGTGCAAGGCTGAGCAAGGCTGGCGCTAAGGGGCTGCAAAAAGCAGAGAGGCCAGGAGCTCAGCCGCAGGCAGCAGCATCAGGGCCCCGCTCAGTAGGTGAGCAAATACGGGGCAGTCTGAAAACATGAAGAAATTGATTAAATGGTAGAGAATTCTGCTTCCTGGGGGAAGCACAGAATCAATTCTATTTTTGTCCTCGTTCAGCTATACTTCATTTTAAAAATGGAAAAAAAGGTGAAAAGTTCTCTCAAGTATTTTGAATTGCCCTGGCTACTTTTAGACTTCATTTTAATCCCATAACACACTTAAGCAAAGTCTCAGCAGTATAAGTCATTATAAAACAATTTCTGGGAAATTAAAATTTGATTTCTGATTATATGATGAATATAAACCATTAAAAAATTCATCATATGTTCATGAATGTAACATACAATGGTGTGCCTACCAGTCAGACTGTCACTGGAGGAATTAAGGGAATAAAAATCAGATTTTTTGGCAACAAGACATATTTCTTGGACCACTGTACTAGATGAAGGGTTTGGACATTCTTATTCTTTGCAAAATTCACCAATGTAATGTGAACTCATAGACTGTTGTCTGCTATTTCATTAGCATTACTGTATTGAATTCCCTACTCCAGAGCCAAGCCCTACAATCCTAGGTAGTATCCCAGGAAATTTATAGTTTCAAAAGGTCAGCTAATATGACCCATAAGAGAATGAAATACACTACAATATTTAAAATTTTCCATGGAGATATAGCCATTATAAAACTCACAGATACAACGTGATTCATATGCTTTTAGTATAAATGAAACAAAGTTTTTTTCCAGGACACTTCAGATGTAATAGTTTCTTTAAAAGCAAACAAATGCCACATATGTAACATGAGGGAAGAGGTGAAGATTTGTCTCCTTCCTTTCCATATTTTGGAAAAATATTTAGATTTGTGCATTTTACATGCGGTGTTGCATGAGAATTAAAAGAAAGTTGCACCCAATTTCCTTATCCACTGCTTTCATGATGCCAACCTTTGTTCTGCCTAAGTACCCTCATTGTGTCCTTACTCTTCTCCCACAGATGTACACAGCAAATCCTGCACTGAGGGAAGCAATTCACTTACCATCATGATATGGTGGTGGTCCAATGGTTCATGCTGCAATTCTGTTATCTATTGGTTTTACTATTTAAGAAAATTGCAATTTAAATAGAAAGTGAAAATCAACAATTATTTATTCTTTCTCCCACACCATTCAATCTTTTGTCTGAACTAGAGCTCATACATTTCAAACCCATTCAATTTCCAGTTAAATCCAAATGCTACTGACTTTATTTTCTGGGGAAGACAGGCTGTTAAAGGAAGGTGAAGAAACCCATCAGACAAACAGGAATCTTCAGTAGTAAAAACAATAGAAGCTATGTTAAAATTATAGCCATTTAGCCATCACTTGAAGAGGCACAATATACAGCTCCTTTTACAAAACCAACTTGCAATTAGACTTGAACTTCTCTGTTTTAATTTTAGATGTCTGCTTTCCAGGCATTTAAACTCAAGCCAGCTTGCTGTCAACACTCACTGGGTACAATTCATTCRCCCTGCTTTGAGTATCTACTCTAAAATGAGACTAATTGCTACCTGCAAATTACTTATTTTCTACCACACACTGTCACGAAGTCTAGATGAGTAGAAGAGTCTAGATGAGCTCAGTTAGAGATGTCTACATCTGGTGAGACAATCCCCTCCTTAGATGCAAAATGCTCTGGTTTCAACTAAGTCAATTTATAAACCAGGGAAAACATAACAGAATTCTTGCATGACTATTTAGAAAATGACCATTTGTAAATCACTGCTTAGGAAAGTGTCTCAGCGGAGGTTCTGCCACTTAATCCTGAATCTATAGTGCAAGAAAAAGAACTCTGAAATCAATTTGTGGTTTCACGGGAAGCCAGTGCAAAGAGTGAAATGAAAACAGTAGGACCAGACAGGTGAATGGCTATGAAGGCACGAACTCACACTTTTTAAGTAACTGCACAGTCAAATCCTGTGAGCTTCCCCCCGCCCCCAAAGAAAATATAAAAAAACGCAGTTCAGAGGTAGTTAGTTATGGACACTTAGCTCAGAACTTATTTGTGGGTTTGTAAGACTCCTGAAATATTCAATATTTCTACAGCTTAGAAAATACACTTGAACAGTTGTACAATCCCATCAAGAGGTCCACTACCTGACATGTGAGAAATAAATAAACAAAAAAATATAAATGGTAACTTAGGCTCTCATTCCCCTTACTTTTGTACAGCTGCTATTTGCTTGTATGGTCCACTGTAAAAGGATGGAGCAAACAGAAGTCCCACATGCACTGCCCCATAGAGCAAATTACTTTCAGTGCTGGTGACAGGGAGACAGCAGGCATTGATGATCACTAGAGGCACTATGACTTAGGCATTTTGCAAATCTGCTCAACTGAATGTAGAATCAAACTTATTGCTGAAGCTGGGAAGTGCTTATAATAGCTGCTGGATAAACAGATTAGAAGAGTTTGCAAAATATGGGACAGCTTTGTAATGACTAGCATTCTGACCCTAGCTAGATTGAATTTCTGTCATAATAAAATTGTCTTTATGGCTACAGACAGCCTGATGGCTCAAAAGTCTGTGATCCCCTTAAAAAAAAAAAAGACTGTTTCCCAGATGCCAACAGCCTATAACGATTAGGCAGAGAGAAGAAAACAAAAACAACCCCTCCAATCTTATGTCAAACTTTATCCTTAGCAGCTGTTTATGTCACCTTAATCTCCAGGTCCACACCTGCAAGAAAAACAGCTAATAATATTCTGTTATCAGTTGTTTTAAACTGAATTCTCCAAACTCAAAAAAGAAGTGATAAAATGAAAGTAGTTAAAAGGTCAGCTCTAAAGAGAGAAAAACAACAAAAAAAGCACTGTTGAAAAGACAAAGAAAAATTTCAGAACTTGAAGTTCTCTTTAAGGAAGAAATACTTCTCTCCCTGCTCCCCTAAAGTCTCTCACTGCATTCAGAAAACCTTAAATCAATATTTGGCATTATCATTTTAATCAAAAATCAACACCATACTAGTAATAAGTGAACATCGGCACTCGGCACTGCAAGGAAAGCAAGTTGTTTGGTGAGGATGAAAGTTGATTTATGGGAATTCCAAGGGCAAACGACAGAGGAAGAGCTCAGCCCATTTAGGAAGGGGCACAAATGGTGATTCATCCTTTCCTTGCTCCTAAGGAACTACCTACCAACCAAAACATCTCACTGAAGGGAGGGGGATTTGTGTGGGATGTTTGTTTCCACATAAACCTTTCTCACAGTGTGGAAAGTTTGACAGCACCTTGTCTGACTATTCAGACCCTTGCACATAGAAACTGCGTTTGGCACGAACGTAGCTTGGGAGGAAAACTTCAAACAAAAAATGTTGTTGTTCTACTATTATTAAATAAAAYGTGTGAGGTAACAAACTGAGCAGTGATTTAGGGTTTTTTGTATCATCCTTTATTCTTTTGTGTAGTATAAAACTGACTCTCCATTAACCTCTCACTCCCTTAGCAATTTAATGACCTTCTAAGTACAGAAATGCTCTTTGTTTATAAGAATGTTAATCTGMAAGAGGGGTCACAGTTCCTTCCAAAAATACAGCAATTCATGTCTCCAAATGGTCCAGCAATTACGAAGAAAATGAGAGCTGCTGAGAGCCACTCGGGCAAGGAATCGCTTTAAGTTGCAAGGCACRTGTGGCCAAAATGTTCCACTTGTCCTTTCAAGTACGACCCCCAAAGCAGTGCCATTCACAGGGGGCAGCACCCAGGGGTGCCGGGCCGCGGGCAACCACTACTTGTGAAGGGCAGCACTCGTCTTCATTGGTATCTTCTGTCAGCACCTGGATAGCTGCTTTCCAGGCTATCCCGACGAAGCAAACACCCGAAATCCCTGCCCGGCGGCGGCGCACACGAGTGTCCCGCCACAACCCCCCGTGTCGGACACTCTCCGCCTTGACGCCTCTCAGAGGCGCTGCCCCCGGGGCAAGTCTCGCTCYGCAGAGACCCCTCGACGCCTCTTCCTCCTCCTCGGGCCGGGGCCGCCCCCCCGGCCGCGCTAGTCGCCGCCCGCGGCCCCGCGCTGCTCCGCGGAGGCCGCYTCGCTCTCGCCCGCCGGCGGCTCCTTGTGCCCGCGGCCCGCGCCCTTGTGGTTGAAGCAGAGCCTGAAGACCCCCAGGACGGTCATGACGAGGATCACGAGCACCACCACGGCGACCGTCACCAGGATGAAGACGTAGTTGGAGGAGGAGGGGGGCGCGGGCGGAGGCGCCGTCTTCTCCTCGGCGGGCGACCCCGCGGAGCCAACGGCTGTCGAGGCGGAGAGGCGGCCGCCCGCGGCGGCGGGGCTCGAGGGGGCAGCTCGGGAGGCGGCGGGGGCCGAGGTGGGGACTGGGGAGGCGGTGGGGGCCGCGCAGGGGCCGCCGTCCCGCCCGTCCGGGGCGCACACGCAGGCGAAGGCGCCGTCGGCGTCGCGGCACTCGGCGGCGTCGGCGCAGCGGCCGCTCTCGGGGCGCACGTAGCCGAAGGGACAGGGGCACACGGGCTCCTGCGCGCCCCTCCAGACGAAGGCGCCGCCGCSCTTCGCCTCGCACGTGAGGTGCACGGCGTCCCGCGCGCCGGGACACGCCACGGCCAGCACGGTGCCCGGCGGGCTGGGCCCGGGCTCGGCGCTGCGCTCGCCGAAGGGCAGGCGATAGTCGAGGCCGAGGGCGCCGACGGGGCGCAGGGCAGCGCAGGCGCCCTCGTACTGGTACTTACAGACGTAGCCTTGGCTCTGCCGCTGGCACGGCCGCTCCTTCCAGCCCCAGGCGGCGCCGGGCGCCAGCAGCAGCCCCGCGCAGCGCGCCGTGAGGCACGAGCGCGCCGGCTCCTTGGCCCAGCGGCCCAGCGCGGCCGGGACGTGGCGCGGGGCCGCGGCGCCGCCCGCCTCCCACGAGAAGCCGCGCAGCGGCGCGGCCGCGTCCGTGCAGGCCGAGGCGTTGCGCCTGAGGCCGAGCCAGAAGAGCGAGGCGCCGGGCCCGCCGGCCACGGCCGCCAGCAGCGCCGCCACGAGCCGCAGCTCGGCCTCGCCGTCCAGCCAGGCGAGCGCTCCGCGCCGACGGGCGCAGGCGACGCGCGCCCCGGCGTACGAGTCGTTGGCCCGGTGGGCGCTAAAGCAGGCGCCGGTGCCCAGGCAGCCGCCCGCGCTGCCGCCGGACTCCGGGGGCTCCGCCGAGGCGCCCGCGGCCGCCGGCAGCAGCAGCAGCAGCAGCGGGAGGAGGCAGCGCGGCCCCGCGCGGCTCATGGTGCCCGGGCGCGGGGCTGCCCGGGCGCTGCTCAGTGCCGAGCCCTCCCCCGGCCCAGCCCGGCCCGAGGAAACGWGTCGGGAGCCCCGTCACGGAGCCCCCGGCGCGGCCCCGACCGCTCTCATTTGTTGGCGTGAGGTGACCAGCAGCGCAGGAAGCGCCGGCCYGGCCCCGGCCCCAGAGCTTCGGAAGAGGCGGGTGGGAAATCCCAGTTTTTGGCCGTGAATCCGAAGGGCGAGGAGGTGGCCGGGCACTCGGAGCCGCAGCGGTGGAGATGGCAACTGCGGGCACCGGTGCCGTCAAGGAGATGCCCGGTGCCCCACACACTGCTCCCGTCTCCTCACCTTGGCACACACAGCAGGATGTGGGCCTGGTTTAAGAACATTTTTCTTACAGAAAACAAGTTTTCCATCAGGCTGAATAATGCAACCCTTCTGTTCCCAGTAGCTAAGCCAGCTAAATGCTTCATAGAATCSGTTTGGCTTGCTGGTTTCAAGTAAACTGGTTTAAATGCATCTTACATGGGGATCTGTACTAGTTTTTGGTAGATTGCTTTTAAATTAGTTTAGTTGATCTCCTGCCACTGTTTCTTTGTAGACACTTCATCAATGCCTCATTTTTATACTCCTTGCCGTAGGAGCTGGTATCTCTGCTGCTATCTGGGATGTGTGCTCRGGTACAGCACACACCTGGGACTTTCTCCGAAGCTTTTTATGCAGTGTAAGCCTGCACACATTTCATTTCCCAGCTCACTTTGGAGGGATCCATCGCCAGGACTGGAGTTTCATATATCTGATGTTCTGCAAATTGCTATGTGTGGATACCCAGAAAAAGCAAAGAAAAAAAAAAAAAAAAAAAAAAAAAAAGGAGAACATCTATGTGGAATTAAAAAAATCCACCAGTAGCAGCTGTTTCCTGAGGGAGTAAGTTCTGCAGTCTTGGATCCAGRCTCCAAGTAGACTCAGACTCTTGCACAAAGTATCTGAACTGTTATATTAGATTAGTAGGCTTTGTTGGTTCAAATTTTGTAATAAAGCAAAAAATCAGTTGATTTAATTCTAGAAGAAATGAGACATTCCCTCTAGAAATCAAGGTGTATAGATTTACTTCATTATAGAGCCACAGCAGCCACAGCCTGCAGTGCTGCAGCACCCATCAATGGGCTCTGCTGCCGGTAGAGCTCACAGTCCCCAGGACAGAGAGAGAAGTGCCAAATGATGGGCTTGTGTGGATGAGCACAGAGCATCCCTTCCTGTCTCTACTTGTTCTCCCAGCTGGAAAGATGCAGAACAGTTGGCATCTATCATCTGTATGACCAGATGCTGTTCCAGTTTGCATCTGGAAGCTGTGTTATGGGATACCTGATTTTCCTTTGGGTCTAGCCTTAAGTGAACCTAAACAAAATCAACTGTTCCTTTAGTCCTTTGATGTTTTTTGATCATACCTAAAGGCAGTGCTCTTGCCCTGTCAAGTTGGTTTCTTGAGCTGTTTCCCCCCAAATATTGTTGATAGATTGGGAGTGTAGAGAGGCAGTTACACGGGGGATGCACAGTTCTACTGCTGTCTCCTTGTCAGACTACGCTGACTTCACCAGGGCTTCACCACCAATGAACCTGTTGTGCTACAGCTTCATCTTGTTTCCTCATTCAGAACAGGATGAATTTATTGCAGGTAGGTASAAACAAGCCTGCATAAAGAGAACAAATAGAAGCAACAAAACAGCTCCATTCAGTGCTTCACATCTATTCTTAAAGCCCTGTCTCTAGGGAGGGGAATGCAACTTGGCCTCTGAAGACATTTGCCCCCTGGCTTCTCTTTTTGACTGTCAGCAAGCACATGATTGGAGCCATCTGCGATGGCCTATCCACCACGTATTTGACTGGTGCTAGCAACTCATTTCACACAGGCCATGACTTTAATTTCCTGGGCTATATTTGAACCAGCAATTTAGAAATGACAGGTTAGCCACCAGTGCCCCGGGCTCCTAAGAGGAACTTAACAACAAATAGAAATATGAAAACACGTAAGTGACAAAGCTGAAGACTTTAACCAGCAGAAAATCAGAGATGGTGACTYGTGTCTGCCTGATCTGCCTGTAGACCTGCATTTTTCCCTATTGTTGCCCCCAAGAGTCCTGCAGAGTAGAATCATTTAGAAAATAACTGATCTACTAGCTCTCCAGAAAACAGCTCTAGCTCTGTTTTTGAATGTTCCATTTTAACTAAATAAATGATTTAAAAAAAATCTATTTCATCAAGTGTCTTCATGGGTATTTTCCTGAAGAATTCCTTTCTTGAATGAGAGGATTAGCTACTCAGACAGAAATGCTGCTGTTATCAGTCACACTGGGATGCATTAAACWTTTTATGTAAGGAAGACATTATGTGAATGTGGCTAATCGATGTATAAGTCATGATTCTGTGCAATGCTAAAAACCTTATCACTTCAGCWTTTTTARCTGTTTTGTGCAATGCTAAAAACCTTATCACTTCAGCTATTGCCTCTGTTTTGGATCAAGCGTCCTTAGAGCTCTGCACATCAGATCTCAGCCTTTGGAAAATTGTGACTTTCTTAAACTGGCAGAGAGGGCCTACTGATTTTTATTTTATTACATGGCTATGTCTATATTGTAATAATGTTTTGACTAATGAATAATGAGAGAAGTACTTTTTTAGAGTGGATACTTCCTTACATTTTTATGTAGTAAATTAAAAGTTTTTTTTTTTTGTGCTTAACGAGGAAATTTGTTGGTCATATGCAAGCACATGCCTCACAAGTGGTAGGGCTTAAGGGGATATATTTTCATTAGAAGAAAGCTCGCAGAGAGATCCAGCAACCTGCTCTTACTAGTAGCTATATTTTGCTTTGCAGAGGCAGAAGAGATGGATAGTGCAATAAAAGAGATCTGCCCGGCTATGCAGGCAATAAAATAAAATGATTGCATAACACTGCAATGCTTAGGGAATTAATAAGGTGCCTGAACTGGCTGGTGATGCTTCTTGTTCCCAAAGGGGATACAGGAAATTGTCTGGTTTGGAGCTGTCACTGTCACCTGTCCTGCTGCCAACCTGGGAGCAGCGCCCGGCAGCCACAGCCTCTTCCCTTCCTCTCTAATCATTCTGTGGAGGTTATTGCCAGTAAGGCCAAAACAGGTCCTCTTCCTCAAGTGCTCTTAGGTGAGCTGGATAGCAATTCAGACAATTCAACAATTCAGTGAGAACTGCAGCTGTTTGAGATCTTGCCCCAAAAGTGATGGGTTAAGTCATCCTGTCTTCCCTAAGCACCACATGAGATGGATATCTGCATTTAAAAAGTGGTTTATCAAATAATAGGGCAATCAAATAACTAAATGTAAGTTGTCCTGAAGCATAGAAATGTGTTTCCTCACACATTTAGGTAAAAATCAGACCCTCTTGGTACCTCTTTAAGTCAGTGAGAACYGCCTCATTTATTGAGTGTGCTGGAATTTCTCCCAAATTTAACTGCATTCAAATGATCAAACAACTTACAACAAGCAATAAAAAGGCYAGGGGCTTTTTATGTTTTTAGCAGTTCACAGGAAACAGAAAAAGAAAAGAAAAGGAGAGTTTCTGTCCTATTGCTTGCTTAATCCCAAGAAGTTAATTATTCATTTCTCAAAAGGACTCCACAGATAACAAGGTTCACTTACACAGTTTGGAAAAGATAACCCAGTCAGGGTCCTGCAAGTTCCTGCCTACTGTAATACCTAATTCCAATGACATTATCATAGAGCTACAGGAATTTTATAAACTAAGGCATAATACTTGGCTGCTCTTACGAACAGAGTGAGTTATCTTTTGGATTTATGACATGGGTATAAAATAGAACTAATCCTGACCTGTTATGTTCAAGAGACTCCATGCACAAAGAGATGCTAGTGTAGTTTTTACACACTGTACATGCATTACCCCTAGCCTCTAGTTACAATGTAAAGAATATATAAAGTTCTTTGATTTTGAACATACTCCTACAGGCAGCTGTAGGATGCACTGAATGCTGATAGGAGTTCACATACTTAAAATTACTTTGTGGCTCAAAAGCCATACTCAAAAAGCATTATTATGGGAATGAATCTGACACCTCATATGTCCCATTTCCTTTCTACTCCACTGGGATTTTATCTGAAGCTAAGCCACAGATTTCAAAGGGCTCGGAAAATGTGTGTGGTTCTACTGTCCTCCTAATCTAAGAAAAAAACTACCACATGAGAGATTAATTGCATTTTACCTACATTATATCATATGTTTTGAAATCCTCAAACCCCAAGTGTTTTGACCTACACAGAATTAATTTGGTAAATTAATGAATTTTCATTTAAAGTGAGAAACTCCCAATTTTTACTAACTTCCTATAGAAATGCAATTACACAATGAACTGGCAGATTATTTGACATGAGGCAAAATTTCCTAGGGAAATAAAGTTAAATAGCAGGAAAGCTAGTGGCAAAGCAGTGATTTCACTTCCTGGCATTTTGCCCAGACTGACCCTTTAAGAGAGTGTCTTGAAGTATTTGGTTGAGAAAGGGCAAGAAATACAGACCAGTGAGAATAAATTCAAGAGAGAACAGCTGTGAGATGGGGAGGCAGCAGATGTTTGTCTACATGAGCAGTCAGTTCAGAATGAAAAAAGGAAGGAAAAATATTTCCTTCTAAAAGGAAGGAAAAATATTCCGAATCTAGTGAAATTATTGTTTTCTTGGAGGTTATGGGAGGTAAACATGCCTTTTTTGGCAATATCTATTGCTGTTTTTTTGTAAGAATGGCCACTCAAAAAGGATTTTCCTTACTTTACCAATGCTTCTTTTCCCCCTTCCCTTTATTAACAATCTCCTTTCTTGAAGCACTTTCATCTCCAAAGCGTCTATTATTTTAAATGCTCTTCATTAAATGAAATTCTTTAT